GGGTTAATATGGACCATGAACAACACTTGACTCCATAACACACAAGAAGCAGAAGCTACTGGTTTTTATGGAAGCAGGAGGGTCGAGTGTCACTCCACTGGATGTGTATGATTAAATGCTCTCTCTCTCTCTCTGGATTACTATTCCATATTCTAAATGGAAGACTTTTTAAGCTTCATAAACAAATGCACTCATTTATGAGGGATTAACAGTAATCTCTCTATTTCTATCCTTTYCCCCTCCCTCTGCACCTCCCGCTCTGTCAGTTGGTTCTCTCCCACTTTGTACCTGAAACTATTGTTGACGATACGACCTCCACCTCTACGCTGTKGTTTACATTTAATGTTCCTTAAAGGTTGAGCAGAACATCAGCAGTACGTTATGGAGACAGTGAGGTAATTGTCTAATTGATTGTGCCRCCTCAGTTCACTTTTCTACCCCACTCTTGGTCCTAATTCTCTTCCTGCTCRCACTTGGGTGCAGCTGGTTCGCCGCGGTCATGCTTCACTGAAAAAACRTCACATTTAATACTTTTTATGTAGTCTTTATATTTTAAAATCAATCCAAACTGAGATCACAGACATAAAAATCCTCATTTACAGTATAAATAAAGCATTTACACAACATAAGCGACAAAATCCATCAACCGGAAGAACAAAGGTTTTGGAGTAAGAACTGCAGAGACGTGCACAAATGGAGCGAGATGATAAAACTGTGGACTGTTACAGGAGAAGGTTCAGTGTTTCAGGTTTCTTCTGGCTTTCACAGCTCATCCTTTCCCCCCGTCACCCGGCTTCGCTCTCTGCTCCTTTCTTTTGTCGCCTGACTCCGAGCGTTACGGCCGGCGTTGGCGCTGCCCTCTCTCTCCTCCTCCACCTTTTTCTGCACTTTATGACCATCTGCTGCCCACAGGGCTTCTGCCTCCTCTCTCTCCTGAAAGGAAATTTGCAAAATGTTGGGAGAAAACAATACTGTGCAGGTTTTAAATCTTTGTGTGTGTGTGTGTGTGATTAAGTTTCTAGAAAAAACTTTTCAAAGCTTTCGTTTTGGACCTTGGGTGCTTTTTCACTCAGTCTCTGTCCAGTCTTTATTCCTGATCATTTAAAGAGCATTTAAAACAAGGAAATGTAACAAGTGAAAAGCAGAGTAAAAAGTGTCAAACCTAAAATAAAAAAGCTGCAGCAACTGAACAGTTTTTGACAGTCATGTTTTTAAAAACAACAAAAATCTGACACAAGACCTAAGATATGCATCATTCTTCAATTAATAGCTTTTACAAAAGCTAAAGAAATGAGAAGAAACAATGTTTATGTGAGGCTAATTGTAAAAAAAATTACTAGTTTGTTGGTATTTTAGCTCGTTAGTAATTTAATATTTATCTGAAATTGCTACATTGTGTGTTTTGTGTGGTATTTTTTTAAAAATTAAACTAAAAAAATGTGGACTGCTCGTGACTTTCAAAACAAACTCTMGTCTAGTAACAAATGTAGCAGCTAGCAAAAATTTTAGCTAGTTATCATGTTAGCTTGCTACTAATTACAGATCCAACTCAAGTTGTTTAGTTTTCTGTTTTGTGTGATATAGTTGTTTTTTCTACCCTTAAAGAATAAATAAAGTTTTTTATTGACGTTTATCCACATTATGTAACAAACGAAGATGCCTTATTTTTTTGTTTTCCAACTGTGTATCTACAAAATCAATGTTCTTTTACATTCTTACAAATATTTTTACTGAAAKGCTTAAAATACGTTTTGTTTAAAAATGATCTTCACTTAAATTAAACGGTTTTACAACTTAATAGACCTATAAAACATTTTTTGTTTTTCCAAGCACACAGTTGATAAACCTTAAGGACAATGACACGGCGCGGCCGCAGAACAGACTGGGTAAATGAGCATAATCATGCAAACAACCAACAGATTTGCATGGTGCCCGGGTCAGTCTTATTCTCCAACGCTGGTGTCACGACATCRACAAACAGGACTGCAGGCATTCCAGGCAACAGTTCTGACCTGACGGGGAGGAGGTCATGGCTAAAATGCTCACCATGTCTCTGTAGAGCTTCTCTTTAGTGAACCACAGGGCCAGAGCGCACCGCCGGCCTCTTGTCACAGCAGTAACTCCATGAGGATTTACTGGGCCTGCAGAAAAACCCAGCAATCGACCACAGCTGGGCTTAACTCGAGCCTGTAGACGAGGACGAGGGCAGAAAAACCCAACATTTCAAATAAATATTCCTAACACATTTATCTGGCAGTCACAACAGAGGGACTTACCGTTACTGTCTTGGCATCTCTTTTAGTGAAGATAAACTCTCCTCCATCAAAGTCATCATTCAGGTAGAGGATCGCACTGCGAGACAAAAATATCTCTTATTCTCAGCCATAAAATGTACAAGAATTATTATTAATAATAACAACAACGACAACAACAACGACAACAACAATAATAATAATAATAATAATAATAATAATAATGATAATAATAATAATTAAACAAAATACAAAGATCCTTTGAAGTACTGGACTGAATATAAGGTTAAGAAGACCTTAAGAAGATTAAAGAGTTCACCCATTGGAAGCAAAGTGTAAATAAATGAGTGTCAGGCCTTGTGTGCACTACTTTACCTGAGATCTCTGTGTATGAAGGCAGGCGGTTCCCTCCAACACTGTTTGGTTTCAGGCTCAAGAAGGCAGTTGTCAACATGAATGGGGTGAGACAGATCCAGCCTGCCCTCCTGGTCACCTGAATGGAAAGATAATGRTACAATAGTCAGAAAATACTACAGCTCAGAAGCTGGAGCAGGATCTGTTACAGTATCTCATCCTTMCTGTAAACAAACAGGACTTTACTTTGGTTAAAATAAATAAATAAAAACATAAATAAACTATATTAACATTTTATTTCATTAATTAAAAAACAATCTATATACAGTAAAATTAAAATTAAATAAAAAACATTGCRTGGACGTCGGGGGCAGTGCCACTGGACTGGCAAACCGGGGTGGTGGTTCCTCTTTGCAAAAACGGGGACCGGAGGGTGTGCTCCAATTACAGGGGCATCACTCTCCTTAGCCTCCCCTGTAAGGTCAGGGGTGCTGAAGAAGAGAGTCTCATCGATCCTCAGATTCTGGAGGAACAATACGGGTTCTGTCCTGGCTGTGGAACACTGGATCAACTCTTTACCCTCACTAGGGTCCTAGAGGGGTCATGAGAGTTTGCCCATCCAGTCTAAATGTGTTTTGTGGACTTGGAGAAGACATTTAACCGTGTTCCTTGAGGTACACAGTGAGAGGTGCTTCGTGAGAATGGGACTGTGGGTCCATTGTTACGGTCATTCAGTCTCTATACATGTGGTGCGATGGTTTGGTTTGCGTTGCTGGTAGTAAGTCAGACCCCTTCAGAGTAGAAGTTGGACTCTGCTTGTTGTCACAGATTCTGTTCATAACTTACATGGACAGAATTTCTCGGTGCAGCCAGGGGGCGGAGGGAGTCCGGTTCGGTGGCCTCAGGATTCCATCTCTGCTCTTCGCAGATGATGTGGTTCTGTTGGCGTCAGGATCTTCAGCTCTCACTGGGGCGGTTCGCAGCTCAGTGCRAAGCGGCTGGGATGAGCATCACCACCTCCAAATCTAAGTCCATGGGCCTCAGTGGGAAAAGGGTGGATTGCTCCTCTCCGGGTTGGGGGTGACGTTCTGCCTCAAGTGGAGGAGTTCAAGGATCCTGGGGTCTTGTTCAGGGAAGAATTGAGTGTGAGATTGATAGACGGATCGGTGCAGTTTAAGTAGTTTCATGGACTCTGGACCAGTCTGTTCAGGTGAAGAGGGAGCTGAGCTGTAAGGCAAAGCTCTCTGTTTACCGATCGGTCTATATTCCTACACTCACCTATGGTCAGCCCCCACATCTCTACAGCACAGACTCTGGTTCCAAAAATACAATGTGGCTGCTTCTATAAACCAGGAACTCCCAGTGAGAGAAGGCACCTCCTTTATAATTTTAACACATGTCTAAGAAAACAATACATCTAAGTGTACAGAGGAGAAATCAAAGCTTGTGTAATAAATAAAAATATAGAGTCAAATGACGCTGACACTACCTGCAACGGCACTACGGCACACCAGGTGTGTGAAGGAAATAAAAAGTTCAGAAGGGCTCCTGAAGTAGGAGTGCAGCAGAGTTCTGGCTCTTTCACCCAGCTCGTGAAGCAACATGGCGTCTGACGAGTTCACCAGACCTTCCTGAGACAGCTGTGAAAAACAAGACTGTAAGGCTCAACGTTCTAATAAAAGATGGCCTACTCCTGTTCGCCAGACCCCCTTTCCTCTCACCTTAGCAGCCGTGAGGACAGTAAGACCCTCGAACGTCTCATGAGGCGTGTGTGGAGAGCGTCGACCTCGGTAACCGTCTCCRAGAGATGCGGCGACCTACGAGAGATGACACAAAAYGTGGAAGGCATGATGATGCGGTGAAGTAGAGCCTCTAATCAGGGGAACCTACAGACGCTAACTGCAGCGTTCTGCCACACTCCTCCTCCGTCATGACTCCATCGAGGAGAACTCGATTGGTCCCGTTCAGAGCTTCATCGTCCATGGATATGGTCACACCCACCTGAGGGACTGGGCCCCCTGTTGAGAGGAAAAATCACAACGGATGAGACACAAAACAAGAGAAATCATGAGAAAATTGAATATTTATTTACCTGCGAAAAACCCACTGTCGTCCACTTCCTCCAGCTGATTTCCTTCTTTTAATTTCTCATTTAATTTCTCTTTTTCCGCTCTGGCAGGAAAAACAAAACAAAAGGTGCGGGTCCATTTAATTCAGCTCGTTATTGAGCAAATTTGTCTCCATTTGTCTCACCTCCAATCCGCCCTTATTGATTCAGGCACCACGTCTTCTGGAGTCCAAAGGTCCTGCAGAGAGGATGACTGATGAACTCAGAAAACACTTTAGAGCTTTTCAGTCTTTTTATTTAACATCGACACTCACTGGGTCASTGAAGCTGAACTCAAGGTTCTCCACGCCAAAATAAAGCAGCTTCTTCTCCTGCAAGGACCGAATGATGTATGTGACGATCTCCTGTTTGACAAAAACACCAAGCTGTGGTCAGGCATGAGGACTGAGATGAGTGTGAAACATTTTTTTTTCAAACTAATGAAAACAAAAACAAGCTCCCAGGAGTCATCAACACACTGTGGAGAGAGACCTGGGCAGGTTGTGTTTCATGTGACTCTGTGTCTCCCCCTAGTGTTTCCTGGTAGAGCTGCAGGTTGTCTGAGGAGCCCGTGTCGGAGGGGTAAAACAGGAGGAACGWGCGAAGAGTCCGCAGGGCTCCAAGAACATCACCAGCTGTTGGGGAAACAAAAGTTCAATATAAAACTAATAATAATAAACATAAACGATTCATTAAAGCATCGTTAGTTTTCTCCTCGAAAACCCGACCTTTAAACTGTGCAATGTGCAGATGCTCCAGCTGCGTCGGCAGGAAGTCCTCCTGAGCAGAGATCCTCTCGGGTCGTGTGGCGACCTGAGTCACGCAGGACTGATGGCACGCCAGCAGAGACAGAGAAAGAGCTGAAAAATGTAGAAAGAGAAGAATTACTTTATATCAAAATACACAAAACAAGAGTTCCACGAAGAACTCTTGCCCATCGCCTCGCGAAGTGTTTCCCAAACTTTTTTTTGTTGTTGTTTTGCTCACCTGCAGCCTTCTCATAGACTCCGTCAACGGTGTCCACGCCGCGGTCCTCAGGCAGCCGCTGCGAGGCGACCTCACACTGCACCCTGCACTCCTCAGTCTGCCGCAGAGTCTCGTTCACACAAGCTTTCCACTTGTCAGCCGCCTGCAGCCAGTCAGAGGAGGCTTCGTGCTGGAGAGCAGCGTCGTACAGGACCTGAGACAAAAACAGAATGTACGGTAAAGCTGGAGAGGCTGCAACATTAACGGAGGAAAGGCAAATTACACACAGACAACTGGTTCATYACAGGGAGAGTTGAATTGGTAAAACAAAAAGTTTAAGTGTGAAAGAGAGATTTGGTGTTTTGAGCAATAATCAGCTGGTCACAGATAGATCTCTGTCATATTTCTCWTTGGAACGTCAACATTTTCACATGCTGTCAGAGGTGGGCACRGTTCTGCTAAACAGCTAACAGCGGAAATAAATTTGGTTTAGCAGATTAGYTTTTTTGCAAACCGTGAGCGGACCAATTAGCTTCMACTAAATTAGATTTGACCAACTTTAAGTCTGCTAACTACTTAATTAATTAACATCAACAGGTTTATCAGTTCCACCAGTCTTCAGCTCAAAGCACGAAGACGTGTGACACAGACTGATAGTCATCTTAGCATTTAGTGATTAGTTGTGTTAGCGTTAGCTTACGCTAAATCATGTTTTTCCTAACATTAAGCCTGCTAACATCTAACTAACATTAACAGGTTTGATTCAGTCCCARCAGTCTTCAGACGGAAGAAGATGAAGACGTGTGTAGCAGACTGAGTGATAGTCGTCTTAGCGATTAGCTGTTAGTGTTAGCTTCCGCTAAATGAGGTTTTGCTAACTTGAAGTCAGGACAAACTTCACGACTTTAACAATAAATTTTATTGTTAAAGTCATTAAAGTGAAATTAATCGAGTTAACTCTGATTAATTTTAGTGCTGCATGGGCATAGATTTAAAAATTTAATCACGCTTTAAAAAAAAATTGCAATTAATCGCGATTAAATTTTACAACCACTTTACTCTGGCTGAATATGTAGGTTTGTATATTGCAATGCACTCAGTGCATGCCAGGTCATGTTTGTAAATGAGAAGTGGTTCTCAAACAATTTACCTGGATAAATAAAGGTTAAATAAATAAAATACTATAAAAATTCCATATGTAACACATTATGTACAGACTTTTTCTTTTTGTCCTTTTATGGCTTATTTTATTTTATTTATTTATGTTTTGTTGACAACTGTGACCTTAGTATTTTTCATTCCTCACGTAGTACTCATTTGCAATGAAAATACTCGAATTCTTGATTCAACTATTATTCTGCACAAACTTTAAACTGACTCAAATATGTTTGGAGCATTTTTAGGTCCTTTTTTATATCCAGAAAATCATGTCCAAGCATCAATTTTGTTTTCTAAATAAAAACAATAAAAACTAATTAATAACTCAAGTAGTTTATTTTATCACNGTGCATGCCAGGTCATGTTTGTAAATGAGAAGTGGTTCTCAAACAGTTTACCTGATAAATAAAGGTTAAATAAATAAAATACTATAAAAATTCCATTTGTAACACATTATGTACAGACTTTTTCTTTTTGTCTTTTTATGGCTTATTTTATTTTATTTATTTATGTTTTGCTGACAACTGTGACCTTAGTATCTATTTTTCATTCCTCATGTAGTACTCATTTGCAATGAAAATACTTGAGTTCTTGATTCAACCATTATTCTGCACAAAATTTAACTGACTCAAATGTGTTTGGAGCATTTTTAGGTCCTTTTTTTATATCCAAAAATCATGTCCAAGCATCAATTTTGCTTTCTAAATAAAAACAATAAAAACTAATTAATCCATCCATCCATCCATCCATGGATGGATGGATGGATAGAAATGTTTATTAAATTTAAGATTAATCATGATTAATTCACAGCTACTTTGGGATTAATCAGATTAAAAATATTAATCATTCGACAGCCCTACAATAAAACTATCATTCCTTGAAGGAATGCAGCTCCCATCATCTTACATGACAACGGTTTAAACAAAGATCCTGTTAACACTCAGAGTACGTGTTGAAGATGACTCTCAGCTACTACCACATCAAGTCTTAGTGCAGAATAGGTAATAATGAATGAGTGTTTTTAAAGCCAATTATCTGTGGCGAATATCTTGAATCAGGTCCAGGATGTCCGTCTCTGCTCACCCAGTGTTTCCTCCTCTCAGCCTCTCTGTCCTGGAAGTCCTCCTCCAGAACGCCGTCCATCCGTCGGTACTTTTCTATGTTGTTTCTCATCTCCAGATGACTCGGGTTGGCCACAAAGTAGGTGTGAGCTGCTGCAGCCGCTTTTTTTAACTTTTCCAACTGAGGGAAGAAGAAAATAGGTGAACCATACAGAAGCTGCATCATCAGAAATAAAACAGAGTTTATGTTGCCTTTAAGAGAGCAGCTCACCTTGTAGAATGTCACCTGCAGAAAGTTGTACGGGTTGCGAGTGTCRAATTCATATTCGATGTCGGAAGAAACAGGCAGCTGTCCTGCAGGTGAGACGGATCGTCCGATACAGAACCTCAAACACTCAGCTCTCTGCTGGACCCAGTCCAAGGCCCAGAGGTCCCACATGTTCCCCTCCTCAGAATCTAACAACACACAGACCATTATCATACAGGAAGTACGTCATCGTACTGGGTCACATTTAAGTCTTTTGGACAGTATTTTAAATATTAAAAAAGCAATCTAGTTTATAACACTTGTTTTTAATAAATGGGTGTTTCTGCTTTGTGAGCTGTTTTTGTTTTTCATCCATGATTTAATGTAGAGTTTTCCACCACATAATTATATCTGTTCAGACCAAAGTAAACTCTAAAGACAACCTTTTCACACTGGGTCTTACTTRTCACACAAGATTCTCCAAGTTTTTCCCAACTCTTGTTATTTGTCTGTTTCTAATATTTTGATTTAACAGAGTTAGAGACTGATGTAAAGAGTTAAATTTCTCTTTATATCCTAAGATCATGATTTATTTAAATCACACATTCAGACACTCGTGTTCAGATAATGCATGGATGGATGGATGCATGAATGAATGAATAAATGAATGGGTATATAACTTTAGAAAAATGCAATATAAGGTTAAACAATCACTGAGGTCCAAATAAAAATGTAATTATTGTTCATTATTGTTGTTGGAGAAACTTTCTGTTTATCTCAAAATTATTCAAAATAAACAAACTGGAAGCAAAATGTTGTATCAACTAAGTAAAATTAATTTAAAATCAGTGGTTAGAAATTAATGGGTCTAATTTAATCAAATAACTAAATAAATAAAAAGTTGAAATAAAAGGCAAATAAAATCCATTTATGCTCATTTAGAGCAATCTATATATTTGCTGTTACCCAGTTTGTTAAAAGCTTCAGACCCAGACGCCTCACAGTCCTGGTGACACTGTCTGCGGACTCTCAGCAGGGTCTCCCTGGTTCCGATGGACTTCTCCAGCAGCTCTGCAGCCTTTGCCCACTCCTCTCCATAATAAGCCCGAACCCCGCTGTAATACAAGAAATCATACGGCTGCAGAAGGGATAAAATGTTGGAGCTGCTGCTGCTGAACGACGCTCCTACGATGAAGTTTAATAAGGAACAGAACGCCACGTAGACAGAGAGATGTTCGARGCGCAGCGCCATGGTTCGAAAACCCAGATTCAGAGACGGAGCTAAAGGAAGAGGAGGAGTGAGATTCAGTCATTAAAACTAAAGGAAGTCGAGTCAGAAAYGTCCGTCCAAAATAATGAAATGTTAAGGTCATCGTGTTATTTTATGACCTTCATTTTTTTAGTTTGTTTTTAACAAGTAAATAAGTTACGAACTGATTCACGGACGCCTTCGTGTAGTTTTAAAACTGCAATACTTTTGATATCGCCGCAAGAGGGAGCTGCAGTCTGAGTTCGAATCGATGATTACCGTAATTACACAACTATAACACCGTAAATGAAAATACATTATTAGCAACAGCGACGATAATCAAATCAACGAATTAACTGATTATCCACGCGTAAATCATGTTATAACCATATGTTTTCTATTGCTGAATATTGTCGCAGTTGATAAAAATGATAAAAAATGACGCGTATCCATCCTTTATGCTTTACGGTAATAAAGAAAGAGCGTTAAATTATGGCAGGTTGTTGTAGCATGTAATCAAACCACTTTCCGATAGATAGATAGATAGATAGATAGATAGATAGATAGATAGATAGATAGATAGATAGATAGATAGATAGATAGATA